CAACTAAACATATATATATATATATATATATGTATAAGTTACAATGGAATACTTGAAATGTACTAAATTCATTTTTGTGCTTTTGATATATAAAAATGCCATACTTTTATTAACAGAAATGAAACAATAAACTTAATTTAAAAAATTATAGTTGTAGTCAGGCTTGGTGGCACATGCCTTTAATCCCAGCACTCGGGAGGCAGAGGCAGGTGGATCTCTGTGAGTTCAAGGCCAGCCTGGTCTACATAGTTTCAGGACAGTTGGAGCTACAGGGAGACCCTGTCTCAAAAAGACCAAAAAAAAGAAAGAAAAAAAAATTATAGTTGTATTCTCCTTCTCCATGATGTATTTTGATAATAGTCACTAATGCCTAGAAGCACATCTACATGTCTGCAGTTTTGAATCACATCAACAGGAAACTGAATTCTTTCCAATCATGCTAAAGTTTTTTCTGCAATCTGCCAGATTTCATCTTCAATAGTCCAAACAACTGTTTTGCAATCTTATCAAAAGCTGCAATACAAACCAAGCACATGGTGCTATATGCCTGCAATCATGGCACTCAGGAGACAGAGACAGGACTGTCATGGTTCAAAGCTACCCTTGTCTACATGGTGATAACTATGGGCTACACAGCATCAAGTCAGCCACATAGGAAGACCATGTCATAAAGCACAGGCACACACTGAAGAGCTGCAATTCGATATGCTTAGGAAGTATTCTTCAAAATCCAACAAAGTCTCTTTTGTAAGATTTTTAAAGCAAACTGGGAAATTATATTCTAAGACTGCATCAACACTTAGGTTTGAGGAGGCTAGTTTTTCTTTTCTTTTTAAAATTATGGTAAGGACTGGGAAATAGTTCAGTCAGAAGAGTGTTTGCATGATAAGCATGAGAATCTAAGTTTAATCCCCAGAACCCACGTAAAAACCTAGGTCTCATGGTACACCTTGTAATACCAGGAATAGGAGGTGGAGCCAGAGAGATCCCTGGGCTTATTGCCTAGACAAACTGGCAAGTTCTAGGTAAAAAGTAAGAGGTCCTGTCTTGACAAACAAAAATTAAAGAACCAAACCAGATGGTATCTGTAGGAATGACATCGGAGGTTGACCTCTGGCCTGCACACACAGGTGTGTACACACACACACACACACACACACACACACACACACACACCAACATGCAAACCCACATACACACACAAAAATGAAAGAATTATGGTAAGATATTAACAAACTTTTAACATTTTAAGTAGTACTTATTATGCTCACAATGCTGTACAACTAATACTACTATTTCCAAAACATTTTCATCATCTTATTCAGAAATTCTACAACTACTACATAATAACGATCCATTTCCTCCTGCTGCCAACCCCTTGTGATATTTAATATACTACTCTCTAACAATTTGCTTTCTATCTAGTTACTTCATAAGTGAAATCACAGAATTTCGGTGTTTGGTTTACTTAGCAGATTGTCTTCTAGATTAATGCAAAATGCAGCACAACTTTACTTCTATACTAAATAGTATTTTATTACAAGTATATATACATACTCATATACTATATTTTGTTGATTTATTTAATGATGGACACTTGAGTCATGTCTACATTCTACCTTTTGGTTACTGTGCATGATGCTGAAGTGATAAATATTTGCACGAAAATATGTAACTTCCTTCACATTCAGTTTTTGGAGATAAATGCTAAGGAGTATAGCATAATTGGTAGTCATAAGGTAAATTTAAATTTAGCTTTTTCAGGAACTGTCAACCCTTTTCAACATTTATATTATTTTACATTCACAGTTAACAATGCACAGGTTCTCATTTTTCTACAACCAGCAACACTTATTTTCCATTTCTTAAAAAATTATAGCTATCCTCGTAGACTGATTATATTGAACATCTAAAATGTTTACTGAACCATTTGACAATTTAAAAATTCTGTTGTTTAGCTATTCAATCCTTATCAGATTGATTAAAATATTCTCCCATTTCATAAGCTGTCTCCATTTTCTTTATTATACCCCCTGCACAAAACAATTCTGGAGATGCCCAACTTCCTTTTTATTTTAATGTTCATGCTTTTGCTGTTATATCTAAGTCCACTGCCAGAACCAAGTTCACGAAGATTTAGCTCTGTTTCTTTAAGCTTTATGGTTTTAGCTCTCATATTTATGTTGGTGATACATTTGGAATTGACTTGTTTATAGTTATAAGTCACATCTTTAAATCATTTTTTTGAAAAATTTTAAATGAATTCAAGTTATTTATCAAAGTCTTGGCAATGTGTCACTGTCCTAAGTACTTGGGATAACTAAGCAAAAGGAAATAACTCTACCCCGTAAAGCTTACATTTATCTTCAAAAGGCTCCCATGTACAAATTTCAAGAGGAAAGATTTTTTTTTCTTATTCAGTACTTAAAACATCTTTGCCTGCAAGGGCCAAAAATGAGCAGCCCCACCTCTCTTAAAAATTAAGATTATCTGCTGGGTAGCCTAACCACACAAGTTCCAATACATTTTTGCAGGGGAGATGGAGGTATAGAAGTGAACCAAACATAATCTTTAGCTATTTAAAGGAATCAAACCCCAAGATGACCAGTTAGTTCTTGACTGTTCAAAATACTGTCAAGGTGTCATGTGCTTTCTGATTTAAAAAAAAAAAACTATCATTATCTATTACAATTAAAATGGTTTATTTGTTGTGGTGCTGGGAATTGAACACAGGTTCTCACATGTGCTAGGCATGCATTCTACCACTGAGCTCTATACCTCTAGTTCCCAAAAGATTTTATTTTTTAAAAAATTAATTATTAATTTTTTCAATATTTTATTTATTATTTTTATTTTATGTGTATGAGTGTATTGCCTGCATGTAGGTAAGTGCACCCATGTTGTACAATGCCTGTGGAGGACAAAGGAGGCCATAGGATCCCCTGGAAATGGGGTTACAGTTGTTAGTGGCCATGTGGGTGCTGGGATTCGAAACCAAGTCTTCTCCAAGAGAACAATCAGTGTTCTTAAGCACTGACCCATCTCTCCAGCCCCTTATTATTTTTATTTTATATGCATGAGTATATTGTCTACATGTATGTGAAGTACACTATGTCATGCAATTCCCATATAAGTCAGAAGAGGGCATCAGATTCCCTGGAACTGGAGTTATGAACAGTTAGCCATCATGTGAGTGCTGGGAACTGAACCCAGGTACTCTGCAAGAGCAGCCAGTGCTCTTTCCACTGAGCCATCTCTCCAGCCCCAGCAAAGGTTTTACTTTCATAAAATTAACAATAAACAACCTGTAAGATATCTATGAACTTAGGCTTCCAACTTCACTAGTGCAAGAAATTCCCCTAAAATGACTCCTTTGTGAATTCTACTCAGAATAGCCATAACCATTAGAGGGTGATATTTCCACAGGTTACATTAAAACATTATGTATTTAAGGAAATAGTTTACTACCGAAATATTTTTTCCCCAGAACCCATGTCCTTTCTGGTTGGCAGAATCTAATATATCAAAATGCAGTCATCTGAAGCTTCTTACCAAACATCACTAGCTTCCATCAAATCTTCTTTTCTATAATGTTATTACTTCAGATCATTAGTCTTGTTCTCTCTATGCATCTCATATCATAATTCACTGACAAGAACTATATTTAGAGGGCTGAGAGATGGCTCAGTTAAGAGTACTATCTGCTCTTACAGAGGACCTGGGTTCAGTTCCCAGCACCCACTGCCAGCTAACAACCACCTATAACTCCAGATCCAGGGGATCTAAGGCCCTTTTCTGGCCTCCATGGTCCCTGTATGCATGTTGTACACTTACATGCAGTTAAAATATACATAAACAAAATAAAAAGACAAAATTGTATTTAGCTTATTGTCTTCTATGTGTCATTAAAACCATAAGGGCAAGAAGAACATGCTATGAGGCTGTTCATTTTTGTCTTTTACTATTAAGTAAATATATTTTCAAACATTAAAGCTAAACTTAAATTTAGTTGAGTGCCGCAAAGAGACTCGTATTACTTCAAAAATCACAGATAATGTAAGCATACTGCGTTAATGATATATTCTAGATGGTTAGTTTTGAAAAGTTAAGCTAACAATGATGATGCCACACAACCATTAGTTATCATATCATGGCACAGTCTGTACCTACACGCCAGCTACAGAATTTGGATATAAAAATGTATTACTAGCCAGGTGTGATAGTGCACGCCTTTAATCCCAGCACTCGGGAGGCAGAGGCAGGCAGATCTCTGTGAGTTCAAGGCCAGCCTGGTCTACATAGTGAGTTCCAGGACAGCTGGGACTACAGGGAGACACTGTCTCAAAAAGACCAAAAGAAAAAAAAAAAAATTAAATAAATAAATAAAAAAGTATTCCTAAGAATTTTATGAGCAATTTCAAAATTCTTTTGGTTAACTCTAGAACAACAACAAAAAATTCTTAATCATTGTTTGCCAGAGGGGGTGGCACGTACCTGTAATCTCAGCACGTGTCAAAGAGGAGACATCCGTGTGAATATGTGCAGTTCCTTTACATCCCTGTGTAGAAGTCTACTGATTATATTTTTCAATTCTCTAATGTTTGTTGAAGGTAATTCTAATCCTGTTTAGCTACTACAAATGATACTGACATTAAGTTTCATATAGGTTTCTTTACAGTATTTCAAAATGCCAGGCCGTTGTCCAAAAGTGATTGTGATATGAACTAGCACAATAGTTCAAAGACTTCCAACTTCTCACAGCTTACACTGGCAGAAGTTACCCTGGTTAGTCTAACAGACACAGAAATGGTGGAGCTGGTTTTACGTTCCTCCTGTCACCTGGCTCCTCTTCCACTTGTATCTTCCACCCCTTCCCCCCGTGGCTCACTGAGGTGGCACTACTTCACTTTGTATTCTGATGACTCCTTTCTAACTCCTTAGTTTTAAGTCCCCTTGGCCTAGGGCTTCCTTTGTCATGCTTCCTTTAGAAACTCATGTTTTAAACTTTAAAAAATTATTGACATTCTTCATAGCTAACTTTTTATTTAAAAATTCTCTGCACATTTTATATATTTTCTTGCACTGTATATTTAGGTCCCTTACTCGGTCTGAATGGTGTTTTTGTTTTGTTTTATATTTAAGACAATGTTTCATTATGTAGCCTTAGCTGGCCTGGAATTTACTATTATGACCATGAGGCAACCCTCCTGCCTCAGCCTCCCAGTGCTGAGACCGCAGGTGTGTACCACACAGCATTTGGCTTTCTTTGTTTTGTAGCCACAGATGGTCTGTTCTTGCCATGTAACCCAGGCTGGCCTTCAACTAATGGTAATCCTTCTGCCTCAGTCTTCCGGACACCAAGTTTACAAGGCACTACACCAAACCCTGTTTCAAAAGTGTTTTTTGTGTGATCTTTGCAAGGAATTATTTCATTATTTTTTTAAAGATAACTGTTATAGCCAATCCTTTTCCATGCCACCTCTATCATATAATAAATTTCCTATATGATGGCCTATTTCTTCTGTTTTCTGCCGTTCATTTAACTGAATAGCACAGTTTCCATGCTGCAGTAATTACTAAGGAATCATATCCACCCTCCCACCCTTTGTGTATCCTGAAGAATGTCTAAGTTGTTCTTAGCTAAGTTCTAAAAAGCATACAGTAGAAAGGCCTTAGAGGAACAGTACTGTGAGTCCTTCACCTCTACTTTAACAGGTACCTCCACAAGCACACAGCTGTTTTTATTTTTTTAAGGTATGTTTTAAAAGATGAACTTGGTAAAAACTGTCTCCATTTATTTCTTCCTATTATCTTCATGATAGAGGTGACAGAGTTCAGAAGTTAAGTAACTTGTTTCATCCAAAATCCAAAATAAGAAAGTAGCAATAACATTTAAACCCATGACTTATTCCGAATTTCTATTGTGGCGCCTATAAAATACATAAAACTAAAAGAGCAATCTAAATTTAGAACTAGCAAATTAAAAGAAACACAAAGGACAAGAAATTCTGAAAACTAAGTAAGTATGGTTATGTCTCAACATTTTACAAATAAACCTGGTAGGTGGAAGGAGTGAAAAGCAGGAAATCAACAGGCTAAGGTAATTTTCAAATAGGTCCTTTGTTTGGTGTCTGCCAACAATACAAAATTTCTATAGATACGCTACTTCTAAATTACAAAAGTCTAATAGTTTAAAGATTTTTAAAAATTTACATCTATCTTAACATGAAAAATTAAATCTAGAAAAAAAAAAAGCTTCAAAAATCTCACAGAAAATCAAACACAAGATATGAAAGGCTGAATCATTTACCTGCATCAGATACTGTGCGCCTTCTCTCAAGTCATCTGCATGCACTGGAGCATAGAAAGCCTTCATTTTGTTTTTAATGAGCCATCGCTGATATCTGGCTTGATCAATAGACATCTCTTTCATGGCCTGTCTCCTAGGGCCCTTTAAATACAAGTATCAACACATTTACTGGAAAGGTAATCTATTTTACATTTACCAATGCCATTCTATTATACTGGGTTGGAAGGTGTGTGTTCAAATGCTGAGGTGGGGGAAGTGTATCGCAGGATCCCATTCTCACTAATACTTACAATTACAACAAGGAAGAGTTAATGGGAAGGTACTGCCCATGCCTGGAGCAAAGGAGGAAAACAGACTTTATACTATTTCAATCTTAAATTAGTAAATTTTGAAATTCACAGAAAATACATTACATAAAACAAAGAGTTTCCATTTTTCTACAGAAAGTTTCTGGTTTACTTAATTGACCTAAACTACAGTAACTTGAGATCGCTGAAAATAAAATAGAAGCATACGTTCTTCAAACTTCTGTTAAAAGATAAAAGGAAATGAGCTTTTTAAATTCAAATTTTCATTCTGATCCCTGGGATAAGCAAAATATAAAAATGTGTTATACACAGATAGATACAGAAAAAAAATCTAAAATCATTTAAAAGTACACACCATATAAATAAGTAAAGGGAAAACACTTTCTGTATGGAAATTGCTTTCTCTATACTGTCTTGTACTCAAGACACTGACTTGAGCTGATCAGAGAGACAAACTGGAAACTCTGTAAGTCCTATGTAGGGCCAGTGTCTCCATGTGTGGCAATATCACCCCCACACACACACAAAAACACGTGTGCCCATGTTCTCATGCCCTTGGCTTTGTTGCTAGACAAGCTGAAGAGCACCATTCATAGAAGTTGGAAAACAAAGCACAACATGCATTTCTGGCATCTAAGTGGGTGAAACTTTGAGGAGAACCTAATGTTACACACTAATTTCTTATGCAGGACAGGTGAAGCATCATCAGGCAATTTTTCTTAATAGCTAACCTGCTAAAAGGAAAAAAAAAAAAAGCTACTTTTGGGTGAAAATGGATAATTACTTTAAAATTATTTACTTACTCCCAGTTAAAATAATTACAGTTCAAAATATCAAGATATTTTTTAAATGTTACTTTGAAACTGTTAAGGGAAATAATATTTTGAAGAAAACTTATTCACTGCTGGTAAAGTGAAAACTGGAGCAGCCATTATGGAAATCAATATAGGGGTTCCTTAAAATGTTAGCAACTAATCTACCACAGGATCCACTCTTGGGCATATATCCAAAGGATTCTATACCCTACCACAGAGATACTTGCTCTTCCATGCTCACATGATCTATTCACAATACCCAGGAAATGAAACCACCTAGATAGCCATCAATTGATGAATGAATAATGAAAATGTGGTACATTTATACAATGGAGTATTATTCAGCTATTAAGAAATATGAAAATCCTTGGGAGGGGGAGGCAGATGATCTCTCTGAGATCAAGGCCAGCCTGGTCTACATAGTGAATTCCAGGCAAGCTGGGGCTACAGGAAAACCTTGTTTCAACCCCCCCCCAAAAAAAAGAAATATGAAAATTGCAAGTAAATGGATGGAGCTGGTAGAACATCCTGAGTGAGGTATGTTGCATGTTCTTTCCCATATCTCAATGCTAGCTTCGAATCTTTAGATGTTTGTTTCATTTAGAAAACATAGAATTCAGGAAACTAGTAAGGAGCAATGGGGGGAGGCAGTTTAAAGATGAGGATAGAATCCAATGATAAAAAGGGGGGAAAGGGACTAGTGGACCAGGAAGGATTAAATGGGGTGGAGGATGGGTGAGCAGTGTAGTGAAAGGAATATGGGGAGGGATAACTAACACTAGGGGCCCTTTGAAAAATCATATGGAAACCTAGTACTGTAGAAACTAAAATATATACTTACATACAAGAAAGGAGCTTAAATGGAGTTCCCTATAATGAGGGGAAATGACCCTACTAGATACCACATAGGCTAGCAAATAAAATGCCCTCTTCTGGAGTTGTGGGCTGGGAGGGGGGACATGTCCCAGAGACCTCCAAACATTACTGGCAATTGCCACTGCTCTTGGGTACCCTCCAGAACTTGACAGTAAGACCCTATTGGCAAAGACACTATAAGCCAAGTGTTAGAACATGAAACCATCAAGATGGTACTGACCTTGAAGCTTCATCTCTACTGGCTGGCTAGCTTTCATAGTGCTGGGAGCTGCTAATGCACATTACCCAGCTCTGAAACTTGCAAGCTATAACTACTGGCCTGTCAAGACATGCACTGGTACAAGCAAGAATGGCATGGATGTTATTGGAGTAATCAAACTATTTTCTGACTGGATGTAAGGCCTGCTCCATAAGAAGCCCATACCTGCACTGTGACTGGGGGCAAGAACCTATGGCTAGATAGGTCACAGAACCTAGAAAAGATCCCACTACTATTATTCTGATAAATGAACAGAGTATTAAACCAACTCCTAATAACTGATTGTTATACCAATAGATCAGTGACTCACTTGACCCTCATCAGAGAAGTTTCTTTTTACAGTGGATGGTTATTAACAGAGACTCACAACTGGTCATCTTACAGAAATTAAGAGCCTACAGAATGTGCAGTCCTAAATGAAACATGTATGTCACACTTCTCTCCCCAAGGCGCAGGGATGGTCAGTAAAGATGGGAAGGAAAGATGTTAAGGGCCAGAGGTAGAAGATGACTACAACAAAATAGTGTTTTCTGGACACAACAGGGCAGTTGCATATATGCACCCACAGTACTTGTGACAGCATGGCTCAAGCCAGACAAAATCCCAATATGGAGGGAGAGGTGAGCACAAAGTCCCACCCATAGCTGAGGAGCTGTTGGCAATTGACAGCTACTCAGAGAGTGACAGTCAGTTTTCTTTAAAGTTCTGACTGGGGGGATGAACTCACAAGAGTATTTGAGCAATACAAATTGGACTCAATGGGCTTAAATTTAAAAAAAAAAAAAGATGAAATGAAGTTGGAGATGGGAAAGATGAATGGAGATGGGGAGGGAGAGTATGACTGAAATACACCATAGGAAATTCTCAAAAAACTTAAAAAATATTTTATTTAAATAAAAAAGAAAATGCTCTAGAGGGATTTAAAAGAAAGGAACAACTTCCTGAGAGTACAGCTGATGTTTAAAGGTAAAAGTAACAATTTTGCACATCAGAGAATGCTTTTGCGTGTGGAGTGCCCCATACCCATGCACATATGCATATGCACAGTACTAATTAGACTTAATAGGTTATTTAAAAAAAAGACATGGAAGTTGGGAGAGGGACATATTGTAGGAATATGAGGAGTTGGAGAAGTGAAACAGCAGGTAAACATGAACATATTTCATTGTGCTTATGTATGAAATTCTCAAGAAAAACAAACACTATAATAAGAAAAGAGCAAGCACACAAAAAAGGAGAAATCCTACAGATTTGTTAAGTTACTTCTCATCTAAAAAGGCTTATGAATTACAAGTTGCTTTCTGAGTGAAAAATGTCTTACTATAGAAAAGAGAATTGATACATACCATATGCACATGGCCACAGATCATCAATCCAACATTTTTCGTGAAGTCATGAACAAGATGAAGTAAAGCTGGACGTGAGTTTGGAGAACCTGTCATAACAAGACACTGTGGCCTAATTTAAGATTAAAAAGATAAAATTAGAGAAGTTTGTGACTTTTAAGCTATTTTTCTAAGAATAAAGTTTACAGAAGAACTTTTATTTTTAAAATGCAGAACACATGATTCTATTAAGGAAATTACTTTTTTTTTGAGACAGGGTTTCCTTGTAACTCCAGCTGGCATAGTACTTGCTAGACCAGATTGGCCTTGCCTGCACAGAGATTCACCTGCCTCTGCCTCCCAAGTGCTGGGATTAAAGGCACCAGGAAGGAGGTGACTTTTAACCAGGCCTTCTTGGTACAGGAGAATTAAAAAAAAAAAAAAAAAAAAAATCTTGGAGTAAATATCATGACAGACACACCAAAAATTCTTGGTAATATTACAGAAATTACCATGTTAGCTAAATTTTATGTAACAACTTTTCATTTTCTAAAGGTAACAATGTTCTAGTTATTTCATAGAGCTTGCGAACATTCCTGAGCATGACTACCCCATAATATGAGAGAGCTCCACTCAACACAATTACCTCTAGTTTATCTTATGTCTGTTGTGTAGTAAGTAAGATGAAAAGTGACAGTTTAAAACTGGTGGTGCACGTCTTTAATCCCAGCACTTGGGAGGCTGAGGTAGGCAGATCCCTGTGAGTTCAAGGCCAGGCCAAATGGGGCTACAGGGAGGCTCTGTTGCAAAAAGACCAAAAAAAGAAAAAAAAAAGAAAAGAAAAAAAGTGCTAATGGACTAAAAGCTTTTAATTCTATTAATGACGGTGAATGCCAAAACTACACTCTATTGCATTTGTGAACATGAGAGTGGCAAGATCTTTAGATTTCAAATTACTGATTTCCACTGGAAGATAAAAGCGATATTTTTGATTAAATAATATTCATGTACAAATATTCAGTATCCATTTATCCATCAAAACATTTAGCAAAAGTTCTTTAAATTAAAAATGTCTACAATTAAAACAAAACAGAAAGCAAAGAGCAGACTAAAATTCTAACTTAAACACTTTTAAAGTAGTTCTTAATAAGTATGAACAAAGTCTCAAATGTATTGTCTTATTTAGAATTTTAATAAAGTATATCAAAACTCAATTCTACTTGGGAGAGTTGTTTTGGGACAATCAAGCAAGACTGGTTATTGTCTCTTTCTATCTAGTTTCCCTCTCTGAGCAGGTTACATAGCTCTTCAGTTACAGAAGACATTTCTTTGCCTTCCTAGGAGCAATGTTAAGGAAGACTAACTTATAACCAAAAGATGCGCCCATTACAATTCATGCCACTTAAAAGGGAGCTGCACCCCATATTCTTTCTTCTATATGCTAGATCATAAATGCAGTAATCACTCTGAGTCCACAGACAACACACACCTTTTAGGGAATGGCAGACTCATAAGGTATAAGGAACCCAGGTCTCAAATGACCAAATGTAGCAAAACTGCCTACTTGTCATGAGCACTCCATCTCTGGACATCTATGAATGGCTTCTTTGAACTATTGCATTTAAAAACCTTTGTTAGGGTCATTTAGTCTCTCTTCTAAATAATTTAACTTATCACTAGGAAAGTTAACTTCTCCTGACCCTTACTAAATAGAAAGCATAGTACAAAGTCATATGGTACAAGATGGTGAGTAATAGTGCTTTGATTTTAATCCCTTCCTCAAAATCTCCAGAGTGTAATTTTTTAAAAGTACAGAACCACAAAAATATAAAAAATGAGAGAGATCATAGTACTGAAACATTGAAAGCTATAAAACAAATAGAAGAACAATCAGGAAAAGATTAACTCCTAAATGAATATGGATAGGCAAACTATGAAGCTATCTGATTTTATACCTCACACTCATCAAAATGACTACAAATTGTAGCAGTAAACACCCCCAGAAAAGGCAGTGAAGGTGTGTTAAAAAACCAGAATAATCAAGAGGGCTGGTTTAAAATATACATCAGAAGCAAGAGAGCCAAGTCATTTCCATTACTGTGATGGGCAGATACCCGTGGTTTTTTTTTTTTGAGCCTGATTTGGCTTACTTGCTAGAGCGGACCTCTGGTCTGGAAGACACTGGAAAAGTGAAGGGCATAAGCTATTTGTAAAGTGGAGGAGTAGGAGACTATTCATATGCAAATTCTGGACCTCCAATTCCTTTCCTACCTGCTCTTAGAACTCTGGTAACAAGAACCATATATATATATATATATATATATATATATACAGCTTAAAAGATTCTTTTCAGATCAAAAAGAAAGCCTTTAAGGTAACTTAAATTCCTCAGAGAATGAACAAAGTCACATTAATCTCTATAAATGACTTGACTGGCAAGGTCTCACCACCAATGCAGAATTTCCTTGCCGAGGATTACAAAAACATGAAAGTGTCAGGCTAAATTGAAGAACCCAAATTAAACAGCAAACAGTGAGAAAGAAACTTCAAGGAAACAGTAGTTACAACTTTGGTTGAAAGCTGAGATAAAAAAATTAAAGAAGAAAAAGAATTATTAGCTTTAAGGAAAATAAAAAAGCCGGGAAAGAGTAACTATCATTTACTCCATAGCTTAGCTGTCCATCTTGTTTTAGAACTTATGAATATATAGCCGGGCGTGGTGGTGCACACCTTTAATCCCGGCACTTGGGAGGCAGAGGCAGACGGATCTTTGTGAGTTTGAGGCCAGCCTGTTCTACATAGTTAGTTCCAGGAAAGCTGGGGCTACAGGGAGACCCTGTCTCAAAAGGCAAAAAAAAAAAGTTATGAATATATAAATACCAAATATGAGTATATATCAAAACAACAACACAAAGATGTACTGTACTGGGAGTGTGGGATGAGTACATATATGTGCTGGGTACAGGCAGATGAAAGATGTCAATAGATATTAGCTAAGTAAAAATCAGAGAGCACAGCAAGACAAGCAGGGCTTTATCTAGTGAACATAAAAAAAAGACAGGCAGTAATGTAGCTGAAAGTGGCTCCTGAGGTCTAAGAAAAGGAGTATGGGGGAGGGGCAAGTACAGGTTTTCATTGTAAAATCTTACAAAATCTTTTTATATCCTGTTTATGTCTACTTTTCATAAAAAATTAAAAGTGCACATGCCTATAATCCCAAAACTTGGAAGGTGGAGACAGGAGTATCTTGAGAGCCAGGACAGCTGGGCAACTAAATAAATCAGTACATAGCAAAAAAAAAAAAAAAGTTAAAAAATTCAAATACAACAGTTAAGTCCAAGCAACAGGACTGGTTTCAAATTAATTGTGACCCTTGTTCATATCTTCATTTATGAGACAACTCAGAAATAACTTCTATTTCCCTGCCATACTTAACATAAATTACCCAAAATATGCTAAAATTAAAGGTTTCCTCCCAGGGATCTCATTACTTTTCCTTTTTCTCTTTTCTCATTTCTCTCACACCTAAAGCTATGTTCTCTGGAAACTTCTCATTTTAGAAAAAAAGTGCCAGGAAGTGACCAAGTATTCAAAAGATCAACAACAGAAAGAATACACACAGACTTTCCTTACAAGGACAGATTTGGTAGAGCAATTCTTTCTGAAATTTATGTTCTCTTCAAAGTCGTTTTTTCTTAAAAACACTTTTCCTTCTGGCTTACCGATGAACATAGAACAGATTTTTATATATACTATACAGAAGCCAATGGGAGATGATTATTTATGAACAAAGAAAATCACCTGTTCACAACTAAACTTAATTTGACAATTTAAAAGTCACTCTTATGAAAATAACAATAAGTATAAATAAGCTAATACTTCTTAGACTTCAGATACGTAAATAATAGTTCTGTATGTAGAAAAGTATCTACCCATAGTGCATTAGTAACTGGATCTAATTCATTATTAGCAATGTATTAAAGCAGTTTTTACACTGATGACTAATGGGCTATTATAAAGATACTAAATCATTTGTTGCAGAAAATACAAGGCAAGTACTCTTTAGCAAAAGGCAGATTCTTTATCACAGCAAATGGTTTCCAGTCAAGTACTGATGAGACATGTTACTAACTCAGTAATATTTAGTCTTAATAAGATTAGAAAATCAAATAGATCAAAAAAAAACTCATGAATTTTTAGTTTTATGACACTAATGGCTACAAAGAAAAAAAAACTTTCAATAGTCTTCAAATGACAGTTCTAAAACTTTTATAACCTTTTTAAAAGGTAATTTTTTTTCTTTGTATAATTTGGTTTTGAATAATTACTGCCTAACTGGCTAAGACCAACCAAACAAAAGAGAATATTCTATACTGTTAAGACTTCTTTGTGAAATTTTAACATGAAAATGTTTCTGAAGAATGGTCTAACCAGCCAAGAGAGAATGGTTCCATGGTACCTCATAACCTACCTGAAGTTTTTCACATGATCTTCTACTCCAGAAAGACGAATTGAATGCTGTAGTGCATTCAAGTAAGTCAGAGCCTGTGTAGAGGATCCCCAGTTCACATCTGTAGGAAAGCAGGGTTCATATAGCATAATACCAGTGACAACCAAGTCATAACTAATGTGATACTCGCAGAGAATTGAACAGGTATTTCATATTTAAAAGTCAACTGCTAAAATAAACTGCTATTGTATTAAGCTTCCACGGTTCAAGTATCTTGAATGACACAAAGGCTGCGATAATTTCCACTACCACTGCATTTGAAGAAAAGCCAAGATGATGGCACAGCAGAAATGCTATACATATAACACAAGGGTCTTTCAAAAATACACCATTTGATATTATTCTTTATGTTGTCAAAGGTCTAAAGGAAAAGGGCAGATATTAAGTGCCATAAATAAGATCAAATTACTTAAGCATGAAAGCTTCCTTTCCCATGAACGAACAAGTTGGGCCTCAAATGGTGATTTTAAACATGCCAATTTAGAGACTTATCGAGTATGTTAGAGAAAGAATGCTTTATAAAGTAGCTAAAACAGAGCTTCTTTGCCCATTCATTTCTAGAGCCACCATTCTAATCCAAAAGCTCATCATTTTGCAGCTAGAATAAAAATGCTTAAACTTTGCTTAAACTTTAAAATTTAAAAACATCTCCTCATGGTTTATTCTACCAGGATGACTTTCTAAGCTTTTCTTGTCAGATCTTTTTTCTATATACTGACCTGATCTTAATATACCTTAGCATCATCGCCCTATATGGAGATATACCTAGACATTATCAATGTGGAACATTATCATCATTAATAATTTCTCAACTAAAAACATTTATTCATTTTGGGAAGGATATATTTTGTAGCATTTTGTGAATTCTATCCTACTTACAAATAGTTCTAAGACCACAAGAGGTAGTATGTATACATATTTGGCTAGCACCTACTACAATACTATGAAATATGAAACCTCCAAAGAATAATTTTAAAATATAAAGTGCAACAGGAAATTATTTTATTCTTTTTCTTCAAACAAGATTAGTAACCAGGTATAGGGGCACATGCCTTTAAATCCCAGAATTTGGAAGGCCATGGAAGGCAGATCTTTGTGAGTTTGAGGCCAGTCTGGTCACATGGTTTTTCACATCAACAGGGCTACAGAATGAGACCCTGTCTCAAAAAAAACCAAACCCCTCTCCACAAAACATAAATAAAATAAAAACAAACAAAAAAGATTTAATTCATGGGTGAAAAAGAAATTCTATAGGAATAAAAAGTTTTAAAGTAGTTCATTGAAACTACTTGTATTTCAAAAACAAAAAACTGTATTTGGAAAAAAAAGCATTTTAAGTTTTGCATGCAACAGCTTTTCAAATATACAAAATTATGCTTGAATATGAAAAGTATGAAAGAACTTTTAACATTTTTTAGCTTAAATACTAAATAGAAAAGGATACTGACCTGGTTTTTTGTAGGTAACATAAATGTACAGTCCAAGGACTATCACATATGTGAGTAATGCAGCCCACCAGTTAATGACAAACATCACTATGCAACAAAGAATTGCTCCAATAAGGGATATCCACATGTTGTAATATTTGAATGCAGGACGCCATCCTAACAATAATAGACAAAAAACATCACTCAGATTCTTCATCTGCTTTATATAGTGGCACGTAAGTATGCACAAAACAGCTTTTATTATGGCTGCCACACTGAGAGGATTTTAAAGATAAAGTACAAGGCTAATTAATATCTAAAGAGTAAGTTAAAAAATTGTTACTGATCACAACTAAATTTTTTATTCTTAACTATTATGAAGATATTTTCATATTACTGCATCTTAGTAGGCTTTTATTCAATAGAATCTTTAAAAATGCAAATCAACCTACTATAAGTGAATGCCAAAACTAGGAAAGGTATAAAAATGAAGAAAAGTTTCAAATTGAGTCCTTAGTAGTGAAGCTTTATTCTCTGGTCTTTAGCATGAATACATCCATGTTTTTATGAATATATAAAATATTTCAAATAGAACTATTTTTTTTAAAAAACCTATCCATGTAACAAAAGCTAGGAGTGAACTAAGGAAACTCATATCATCCCATTTAATACTTATTAAAACTACTAAAAAATGTTGAATGACCATGCTTAAATGTTTGACTGGTAAGTAGTTGCATAGCTAAATAAAATTTTAAAATATCATCTCAATAACAAAAAGAAGTAAAATTAAAGCTAAAACATACATGCTCACACTTATTGTTCTTTCTGATAATCTCTGTATTTTGTCTTTTCCTGTTCTAATAAACTTTGATCTTTTTGTACTGTGCCTGATTTTCAGCTTTTGTCACAGTATATAACAAAGGCCCCATGGTACTTTTTCAGTTGATAGAACTCCTTATGTTAGAATTCCACAGAACTCATTGTGTTAAAAATACTTGAGGTGCTGAGACTGAGACTCAGTGGTATAGTGTGTGCTTTTCATGCATTGAGGCCCTGTACGCAATTCTCAGCACCAAAAGGGTTTGAAAAACGATTTTTTTAAATTGTTGTTCATTTGTTTTTGAAAGGTTAATTATAGTATAATAAAAATTAAAATCAGGCTACCAAACTAAGATTAAAAAAAAAAAGTAAGTAATCCTTTAACTTGGTTAATACTATTTTAAATGCTTTGAAAACAAGAAACAGTATCATCAGTGTACTTCATAACAAAGAGATCTTTGAAAACTGGATTAGATTTAGCTATAAAGGAAAACAGCATTCATGAGCTAATCTCACATGCACTGTTTTAGAATACCAGACATTTGTTTTCTCTGAAATCAAAGACATTAATACATTAACCAATTCTTAAAAATATGAAATCACCTGGAGATTTTGCAAGTGATGCATGGAATACTGAAAAATTGATTAATGCATATGATGCGAGGAAGAAGTTAGAGATAATTGGAGCAATAACATTCAGTTCAGCTGCAAAAGAAAGGTAAAGAAAATGTAATGACATTTAAAAAGTAAATTTTGAAATATTTCTAGTTTTTAAATAGCATAATAAACCACTAAATCTGCTATCCAGATTGGTATTTACATTTTTCCATACTCAGAAACCAAAACAAGTTAAAGACTCCCTGACTTCACTATTCCAAACCTACCATTTCTTCCAATCACAACATTATTTAAGGGTTTACTATACATACATAGTTTTGCATATTATAATATTTGGGGTGTATTAAAAATTATGTAATATGGTTTCTGTGCCATTCTCCAATTTGAACATTTGTCTGAAATTTATGGGATATAAATGCCAAGTTTATTGGTTTGTTTGTTTTTTTCTGTCTTTTGAGACAGGGTTTCCCTGTAGCCCCAGCTGGCCTGGAACTCACTATGTAGACCAGGCTGGCCTTGAACTCACAGAGATCCACCTGCCTCTGCCTCCCGAGTGCTGGGATGAAAGGCGTGTGCCACCACTCCCAGCCCAAGTTTATTGTTTCTTAACATTCGGCATCACTCTGTAGTTTCATTCTGTTTATTTAGGTTGCTTCTTCTGTTAGGATGATACTAAAACAACTGGTGCATGATACTTTGAGCATAAATGCAAGTTACCTAGGAAGAATACCACTGAATACAACAACTTTCCTAGATATTGCTAACTTGTTTTCCAAAAGTAGCTCAACCAAATACACTCTATTAGCATTACCATCACAATCAATGGCATAATCAGACTTTGGAAGTCACCTACCTTGAGGGACAAGACAAAAATCATTGAAAAGTCTAATATCCTCTTGCCTCATGTATGATCAGAAATTATCTTCCTGAGGTAAACATACTTTTTCTTATAACAGAATCACACATGCTTTAGTAACAAGAATATATGATACCTATAATCCCAGCCCTTGGGAGGTGGAGGCAGGACAATCAGAAATTCAAGATCATCTTCTGCTAGTGAGTTGGATTCCAGCCTGGGTTACATGAGACCCCATCTCAAAAGCAAAGTAGTGGTAGTTCCTTCTAGCCCCTATGGTGACTTGAGTAATGGTGATAATTTTAGTAAAGTACCTGTCAGATACTATTATTTGTAGTACTTTATCTGTTCTTTTATTTTATTAGAAATTAATCTGAACTATCAAAAGCACATTTTGTAAATAATTTAATCATTCAATATTTAAAGGTAAGACTAAAAATGCACCAAATCTACATTAACACACCATTTATAGAACTAACCAATTAGGATGAATCCAAGCGCAATTAAGAATGTTAAGATGTAACCACGAAGAGGTTCATTATTTTTTCCATAACCTTTAGCAAACATATGGAAAGCTGGGTAGATGTTGTCCTTACACAGAGCCTAACAACAACAAAAAAAATGTAAACATTAAAATGAAATACATCAAAATTAAGACATACAAATCTGCTGAACAGCCAAGAGTAGTTCAATAAAGAATGAAACCCAAGTTTCTCATTTCTGATTTTTGTTTCCTGTGTCACGGTGCCTCAGCTACAAACTATAAAGGACATTTAAATATTTCAAACATCAAAAGGATAGTTGGTTTACAATACTGCTTACGATTTATGTGTCTTACACGACACCATGTTGAAGCTCTAGCCATGAGAAGGAATGACAGAAGCAGATATTCAAACACAGGTAAAATGAAAAAGAAAATGCGAAGGTTGGGAAGAATGACATAGGCAACCTATGGTTTTAAGAAAGTTAAGTCTAATCTAAATTACAAAAATTAACCACTTTTTTTGAAATATTACTGGATAGTGCTTTAAACATCAGATCCTACACCATCACTACACTTACTGGCTACAAATATGATATGAAGAACAAGGATAAAGAATCAGCTTTTATCTGCTTTAGTAGTTGAAAACTATCTCCTACTTCTTATTAGCTATTTAATGATCACTAACAGAGGCATGTTCACACTAGTCATTATTACACCCCCAACAATTAATGCCATGCCAGGTGCACAGCAGGCATTCAACTTTTTGTAAAATAGTTGAATTTGCTATTTCTGATTGATGGTCTTAAACTGAACTCCTAATAACTTGGTAAGAATCTTAACTTATGGGGCTGAAGAGATGGCTCAGTGGTTAAGAGCACTGGCTGCTCTTGTAGAGGACTCAGGTTCAATTCCCAGCACTCACAGGGCAGCCAACAACTGTCTGTAACTCCAGTTCCAGGGGATAAGACACCCTCTTCTGATCTCTGTAGGCACTGCACGACACGGGTACACTTACATACATGGTGGCAATACACTCATACACATTAAATAAAAATAATAAAATATTTTTTAAAAAAGAATCTTAATTTATGCTAAATATGTCAAGAAGTAAAATCATCCTTTTCTAAAAAGTTTATTATTATTTTTAACTGTATATGTGCATGTGAGTACAACTGCACAAGGAGGCCAGAGACACACCCTAGAAATGGGGGTTACAGGTGGTTGTGAACCAAACTGAACTTGTGTCTCTACAAAATCAGTTCAGGATCTGCTGAATCAAAGTCTCCAGCACCCAAATCCATTCTTTCTAAAAGGACAACTCAAAGGATATCTGGGGACACTGACTTGACACAGTGGGCCTTAGCAGGGATGACAGAGTACATGTGTTCCAGTGGGGGGGCTATGGGAGGGTACCAGTGGGGACAGGGGTATAAAGGTGATTAAGATTGCTTGAGATGCTCTGTATGAAATATACAAAAATTTGATTAAATATATACCTTGAGAGTAGGGAAATGCACAAATGTTTGTATAGCTCTACATATCACTGATATACATAAAATTTATAGCAATAATGATATATGTGCATATATACATCTAACCAATTTGAACAGTGACAGTCCCAAAATTTGGAATATTATCTTAATTCTTTCCCCCACTTTCAATAAGGGCTATCATATAAAAATACTTACCTGAAATATTTTGGGAGCACTCACAAGAGATGCTAATGCTGAAGAAAGTGTGGCTGAAAAGATACCTGCAGAGATTAAGGGTGCAAATCCTGACACCATGCTCATCACCTGAAGTAAAAAATGACAAATTGGAAAAATAGTCACAAAAAGTTTGATAGAGAATACAGTATTACACAATCACAAGTTGATGATTCTAATAAAGGAAACAAATATTAGCATTCTCTGATAATTTGGTAAACAATAACAATGAGAAACAATACACTAAAAACCTAATTTTGTAAAATTTCAAATGGACACACAGCATAAGAGGGTGATGAACAACCAGCTTCCATCACCAGACTGCAACCATGATCAACTTGGGGTCAACCCATATTATTTTAAAAAATAAATCCCAGATTTTCAATGCATAACCATCCAGTGTATAGCTCTAACAGGCAAAGACTTTTGAAAACTAACTACAAAGCCATTGTCCCAGTTTAAAGACTTGGTTATCCTTTACAGCATTATCGAGTCAGCATTCAAACGGCCTCACTGCTCCTCTCATTTTATTTTTTAATTTTCTTTATTTTCTTATGTGTATTAAGTGCTTTGCCTATGTGTATGAGAGTGCACCCATGCATGCAATATCCACTAAGGTCAGAAGAGAGTGTCAGATCCCATGGAATTGGAATTAAGGACAGTTGTTATTCACTGGGAACAGAACTAGGCCTTCTGTAAGAGCAGGCCAGCGCTCTCAATAAGTTATCTCTCCAGCCCCCTCTTGGTCATTTAAAATGTTTGTTCAAATCAGCTACCCCAAAATGACTGCATTACATTTAGTTCTATGTCTGTTCAATATTTTCAATGTAATGTTTCACATATTTTCATTTTAATATTTTTTCTTCCATTCTCTAGAGAGCCTATATCCTGGAGTGTGCTAACTTAATGAAAGAACACAATTTTCTATTTCAAGACAATATACAGAAATCTGACTGAGAATGTCAGTGTCCTTTTCAGGATCTGTGTATATGTGTGTGGGGGGGGGTGAGTGAGTGTAGGTGAGTGGATATGAATGAAGATTCAAACTGGCCATGTAGGCTAGGTTGGCTGACCAGCAAGCTGCAGGCATTGACATGTCTCTACCTCCTTGGCCCTGGGACACAAACATACACCACTATACCCAGCTTTGTATATGAATGAAGATTCAAACTGGCCATGTAGGCTAGGCTGGCTGGCCAGCAAGCTGCAGGCATTCACATGTCTCTACCTCCTTGGCCCTGGGACACAAACATACACCACTATACCCAGCTTTGTTTAAATGGGTTCTAGTGATCAAATTCATGTCCTTGTGCTCTGACTGAGCTATTTCCCCAGCCCTTTACTTTAAACATCTTAACAGACCTAAATAGTAAACAGCAGAAAAATTGATAGTCTCCAAAAACTTAAGAACTAATATTGTTACACACTTCAAATGTTTTGAAAGTTCTCTTTTAAGTCATCTATTCAGAATTCAATCTTCTTTGTTAAATGGTGGTTTGATACAGTACGAATTTGTATGTACCATACCTAACTAACATCATTAATATGTATTTACCTATCTATTATCTTTCTTCTTTTGAGATAGGGTCTCATGCCAGCCCAGGCTGGTCTCAAACCTGCAACAGATCCAAGAATGACCTTGAGCTCCTGATCCTTCTGCCTCCACCTACTAAGCACTAGGTTTGCCAGGTGTGTGTCCCACCACACCTGGTTTATGCAATGCTGAGGACTGAACCCAGGGGCTTCATACATGCTAGGCAAGCATTCTACCAACTGAGCTATACTCCCAAGATCAATACTTTTTGAAATATTATTCACATATAAAGCAACTAATTACTAAGAAGCTAAAACTGCTAGAACTATTCCGGAAAACGAAGTAGGTAAAGTTAATCTATCTGACTTAAAGATTTATTATATATGTGCATCAAGACCGTATAATATTGGTAAACAGACCCAAAGCTTAATGGAACACAGTAACAGAATCCAGAAATAGACCACACAAATATAACTTGTGTGTAAGACGCTTCCTTACTTTCTAAAATAGTATACTCATAACAAAAGTGTACCCTGGCAGGCATTTTTGGCTCATGAACAGTCTCAGAGGTTGACCCACGTTTTCCATTTTGCTTAGTTAGTGATACACAATTTGCGGAAAGGAAAATTTATAGCTGTATTCTAAGTGGTTGGGTTTCACAGCAGTCTAACCCCTAGATAAATACAGAATGTCTGGACAATATAAATTCAATGCTCACCTGAAAGTTGTTCATTAGACCATAAGAACAAGAATTGCTTTTACAATTCGAAAAGTCAAAGTTTAATTTGCAGGCTGCAGAAGTGCAATTTGTCAGCTCTGTGGTAATGGTGTCATTAACATTCCCGGTGGCATCCCGAACAACACAAGAACCTGAAGCACAAGTGACAGTGAAAACAACTCACATCTACATCCCAATTAGAATCATATTTAAAAAGGAATAACTGACCATACAGACACTCATAATAGCATACACTACATTTACAGTCAAGATATCTTTACCCTAAAAGAATATGAGAAGCTTTGTGGTCACAAAATTTAAGTAATGGAACTGAACTTTCTGTAAAGAAAAGTCTTTACACATAAATACTTGAAGAAAATCTTATATGTAGCTGTGGAAAACAGTACATGAGTAAATCCATTTCATAGCCTATTTGGGTAAGATGTCTTTAAGCAAATATAAAAACACTGTGTTGAAAGAGTTCTAAATAAGAGAAATGTTTCTCTATGCTCTGAATATTAATTTAAATGCAGAAAAGATGAAGTACTGAGTAATACCTTTCTGAGAATACAATGTGAATCTAACTAAATGTATTTTCATTTAAAACTTTGTCTCAAACATGATTACTCTAGTAAGAAAACATATGGTAGGTGAGATTTGCTTAAAAGATAACCCATAAGGGCTGGGGATGTACTGCAGTGGTAGAGTGCATGCCTAGCACACAGAAGGTCCTGGGTCTGCATCCCAAAATCACAGACTGATAAAAATCACCTGACAAAGTAACTGGGTGTAGATGAAATGAAACTGGCTAAGTACTAATAAGTTTTATGAAACTTCTTGAAGTTGGGTGACAATTTTGCTACACTCATTAGAAAATGCTCTGTACTTCTGTCTAAAATTGATAACTTCCATAGCAAAATACTGTTACCTTGAAATAATCACTTCAAAGTATAAATAAATATATGAAAAAACATGCAATATCAGTAATAATTAAATAAATGTAATCCAAACCACACAGAGTAATGGGGGAGGAGAGACTATTTTGTTATACTTTTTTAAACATTTTGGTAAAAAGTATAAAAATTATATGCATTTAGGTCTGACTTGCATCTTCGATTGTCCTCTGCAAGACAAAGACCCCACAGATGGCCATGAACTTTAGAATTCCAAAAGGTATTAAGGCAACAGATACTTATAAAGGGAAAAAATATTAGACTTCCAATTTCTTCTGTTATATCCCTTATATGTCTAATGAGACGTAACAAAAAAAATTTACTTCCCAAATTATTTTTTTGTTTTCTTTCAGACTGGTGCTGATAAGACTATTACACATTATTTTTCTCTGTGTTATCACATCTAAACACATGGATATCTTTTTCCCAATCTTTGACAACCTGCAGTTTAATTATTAGTTGTAGGTATTCAGTTACCATGCACTCTTTTATTCTAAAATACTTTATTTTTATGTGTTATGAGTGTATTGCCTGCATGTATGTAAGTGCACCCATGTTGTGAGAGCCGGCGGCAGTCAAAAGAGGGTGTCTGATCTCCTGGAACTGGAGTTACGGACAGTTGTTAGCTGCCATGTGGGTGCTGGGAATTGAACTCAGGTCCTCTGTGAGAGCAGCCAGTGCTCTTACCTACTGAGGCAGCTCTCCAGCCCACACCTTTATTTTAAATAGTTGAGAAGTTACTGTAAAAATACAGACCAATGATGTTCTTTTTTTTTTTTTTTTTTTTAACTTTAAACAGTGAGGTTAGAAGAGCTATCATTATGATGATTGGTCAGAGTTTTCCCAAATACAAACAAAGATGTTCCAATTTAATGACAGTATTTCGGAGGAGGGGACCAGCCAGTCTTGAAGGAAAGTGAATCCCAGTGTCCTGACAGTGCTTCAGATAATGTGAAGACACATGATATCCATAAACTATTACACGGGTCCTACAGGAGCTACCTAAACAATGACAGATCCCAAAAAAACCAACGTCACCAATTCTATAATGTGTAGAAGGAAGCTAGGAAAATAAGGGGTGTGAGAGGAGTTCTATGAGGGGAGGGAGGTGCATAAGAAGATATGAGAGATAGGACAGTCCCATCCTGGTATCTGAAAAGCATCCAGAGTAGCACTGAACCCTTATAAGGACCATTTAGTTCCTAGCAGGATGCCTACCTCCACCAAGAAAGAAGGAAGCTTAGCACCCAATTAAGAGACACCTTATCTTTAGGTCCCATTTCTGCTTGAGCTCTATATAGTGAAAAATTATATATTTAATAAAATCTTAAGTTCTTATCTATTTAATTTCTGAGAATCTTGTGATGCCTTATGACCATGCACAGAGCCATTCTTCCCCACCCCCAGGAAAGATTTTAAACCACAGGCTCATATACCTTCACCTACCGAAGACTGACACTGACATATAAAATACATACACTCTTTCATGTAGTAGTCTTATAGGCATGGACACACATAAAAACAGTGACACTGAACACCATCAATCACTTCCTCTTCAGATAGTCTCTTAACATCCATACATTTAAGCATTTTTTCAGACAGGGTCTCCTGTGGCCCTAGCTGGCCTGAAACTCACTATGTAGACCAGGTTGGCCTTGATCTCATGGAGATCCACCTGATTCTGCTTCCCAAGTACTGGGATTAAAAGTGCACACCAGCACGATTGACTTCATCTCTCTTCTTCCTATCACACTTGCTGCAGTACTTTAGCTTTACATGTTGTCCCTCATCATTTCCCACCCTCTATACTGTTGAACCCTCTTCAATGTTCTATCCATCCTTGACCCCTGGGTGGTATCAGTGGATTCCATATCTTTAAGTGTCCTGTCTATATTGGTGGCTCCCAAAGGTTATCTCTAGCCATGTTTTCCCCCCGTTTGTCAGTCATATGTACTCAGCTCCTGCCTGGGAAGTCTGGAAGGCCTCTAAAATGTAATGTATGCAGAATAAATTCCAGAATTATTTTTCTCATCACAGTTTCTCATCAAAAAGATCCAACTTCTGTACCTCTCTCTCCTAATGCTCCTCTAATGCATTGGCAAGATCAGCAAGTTCTTTTGGTCATAATTTCAAATTTTATCTAGAATGTTACCACTTCTCTTCCCACCTGTCTAATACATAATCCAAACCATGAAAAAATTATATGCATTTAATAAAAAGATAATATGTAGGAAGCTAATATTTGAAATGGAGACTATTTCGATTACTAGATAGATTACATAATGCTTTGTTCATTAATTTCTTTCTCTACCTTTTAGCCATGTCAGCAAAAGCATGTTTCTCTCTCAATGTGCCTCTGAAAGCTCAGGGACTGAAGGGAGACAACAGAGCCCTGTGGCTCTATTCAGCTAAAGCAGCCCTGCTTTTATGTTCTGTACCTGACTCTTGTTTGTTTGCTTGCTTTGGTTTGGTTTTAAGACAGTTCCACTGTGTAGTTTAGGCTGGTCTTGAACTCACTATGTAGCCCAGGCTGGCCATAGACTCACAGTGAAAATCATGCCTTAGTCCCAAGCACCAGGATCACAGATATGCACTACGTTCGGCTCTACCTACAATTTGGGAGATGAAAACAATTGCTTTAAACTAGTCATACAATCAATGATACAGACCCTCTTAACTGGTCTAGTGCCCGAACATCAAGAAGGGACAACTCTTATTGCTTCATGGGTTAAGTATACACAGAATGAAATGAATTGCCAATTTTAGAGGGTTGGACCAAAACAGAAAAAGCTTATCCATAGCAACAAATTATGTTTAAAGTTGAAACAATAAGTTATGCCAATCTTTAAATTAAAAACAGATTTTACTAGCCAGGCGTGGTAATCTCAGCACTTGGGAGGCAGAGGCAGGCAGATCTCTGTGAGTTCAAGGCCAGCCTGGTCTACATAGTGAGTTCCAGGACAGCTGGGGCTACAGGGAGACCCTGTCTCAAAAAGACAAAAAAAAAAAAAATTTACTAATTTTTTTAAGATGGGCGTGGTAGTGCATGCCTTTAATCCCATCACTCAGGAAGCAGAGACAGGTGAGTTCAAGGCCAGCCTGGTCTACATATCAAGTTCCAGGCCAGCTGGGGCAAAGCACACTAAATGTGTGTTTGTATGTATACATACACATATTTATTTCCTCAAAAAAATTCAGATTTATATATTAAGGACAAATGAAATCCAAAAGCATTTTAAAATACCAATTTGGCCCATCATGATAATGTCAAGATTTCTAACTTTTGTCCAATCAAATTTCAAAATTACATTGAAAATAGCTGCAAAGTATCTAAATATAGTTGTCACTACTTTTGAACAAATCAGCATACACATATTTATTTCCTCAAAAAAATTCAGATTTATATATTAAGGACAAATGAAATCCAAAAGCATTTTAAAATACCAATTTGGCCCATCATGATAATGTCAAGATTTCTAACTTTTGTCCAATCAAATTTCAAAATTACATTGAAAATAGCTGCAAAGTATCTAAATATAGTTGTCACTACTTTTGAACAAATCAGTGAAAGCGGGGCAAAACTGAAATATTCCAGCCCAAATACAAATGGAAATGTCATGCCAAGAAATTAACAAGTCTGTCGGGTGTGTTGGAGCACACCTTTAAATCCCAGTACTCCCTAGGCAGAGGCACAGGCAGAAACAGAAGGATATCTGTGAGATCCAGGCCAACCTGGTTTGCATAGAATTCCAGGCCAGCTAGGGCTGCAGGGAGACCATGAGACCCCCAAAAATTACAAATTAATGAGTTCATAGTTCATGATTTGTGTAGAATGCATACATGTATGAGTGTATTGGGGACTGCTGTGGTCTCATCATACATGTTAAGGCTGACTTATTAAGATTTAGTTTTGTATTATTTTCAATAAATTTAACCACAAAAATTGACTTTCAGAGTTTAAACACTTGAAATAATTTACTTTTGAAGAATACATATTTTGCAGGAAAAGTAGTTTTGTAAAAAGTATAATGAACTTAAAAATTTTATCTACAGTCACTGTATATAAACTATATACAAATTAACAGAAATTTACCTAAAATGCTTCAATAAATTTAAAGGACCTACATTATAAATAAGCTTTAATTATCTTATTTATTTGCAACTCAGTAACTTACCAAAACATTTTGGAAAAATTAGAAAATATCATTACAATATGTATGCTATGAACATTATAACATTCTTGAGACACACGGAGAAATGAAGGCTATTTACCTACAGATACTGCAATTCCTATGTAAACCACTGTAGTAATTAAAATGGCTAAGAGTGTTCCTTTAGGTATGGCTGACTGAGGATCCTAGAAGACAAGAAGATTGTTGTTAAAGTTACCTTTAAAAATATAAATACATGTGCCAAAACTTTCAACATATATAGCTGACATAGTACTTAATAAATAATACTTACTGCAAGATCACCTGAGATATTTGCTCCAGCCAGAATACCAGTTGCAGCAGGAAAAAAGATGGCAAATACAGAAAAGAAAGTCTCTTCCTCCCGAAAATCTGGTCCAAAGTTCTCCTTAAATACCTCAGCTATAGAGAACAAAATATTTTTGGCAATTACTGCATAGTAAATGAAACCAAAACAATTTAGGTCAAGAGTAATTGATGTATATGACTGCCTTTTTTTTTTTCAGTTCAAGCAACTGATAAATTCTTATGTAATACCAAATTCAGTATTAATTTACCTGCTTTCTGATATGAAAGAATGGTTTATAATCAAAATGATAATATGATCTGAGTTATGTCTCACATTCTGGTATGCCTTGCCTTATCAATAACTCTTTAAGAATCTCTACTTTGTCACTGCTAATCCAAATGAAAAAAAGGTCACTATTGCCCTTTCCTCCAAATCACAGAAGTCAAAGACCTAAGAAAGGACAGAGGGAAAAATAAAACAAAACAGCCCACTAATCTGGAACCAGCCTCTCTACCTCACCCCCAATTTCTAGCTTCCATTACTCCCTGTACAAACTTGATTCATAGCTTTCTCCATTTCTTATCTGACCTTAGGCAGAAAATTTTTGGTAAAGGCACTCTAAGTAAAGGACTTTTTCCATTTCCATCATATAGATGTTCTGACTAGTCCTACTATTTTAATTTATTCTAAAAGGCAGGTATGGACACTAAAAATACTAATTAACTATCATTTCCAATATGTAGTTACATATCATGCACCAGGTATACTACTACAGCTTTTTAGTATCTCAAAGCTCAGAGTTCCAAAATGAATAACTCAGACACATTGCCTGCCTTAAAAGAACCTATGAATCCCAGCAGGGAGAGTCTAAATAAGTCAAGGAACGGATCATAATAGATACTAGTAAAAGTGCTGATGAGAACAGGGTGCTGTGATAAAGAATAAAAATGAACCAAGAAATGTTATTTTTATGATTTCTACTATTTTATCATTTTCCTTTATGTGTCTGTGTGAAATGTAAAATACTTGCTGTGCAAGCATGAAGACCCCAAGGCTCAGGGATGGTCACTGACAAAAGGAAGGAAAGACTGTAAGCACCTGAGGCAGTAGATGACTATAACAAAACAGTTGTTTGCTAAACACAACAGGGCAGTTGCATATATGCACCCACAGTGCTTGTGACAGCAAGAACAAGACCTGCAATAGCTCAAGCCAGACAAAATCCTAGCATGGAGGGAGAGGTGGCACAAAGTCCCACCCACAGCTGAAGAGTTATTGGCAGTTCATAGATGCTGGGAGAGGGACAGTCAGTTTTAAGGTCGTGACCCATTAGGTTTACCACACTCCTGGGGATGAACTCACAAGAGTATTTCAGCAATACAAATTGAACTCAATGGGCTTAAAAAAAGAAAACATGAAATTGGTGTTGGGGGGTCGTGGAAGAGAGAGGGAAGAAGAGTGAATCTGATCAAAATACACTGTATAAAATTCTCAAATAATTAATAAAATATATTTAGGAGGTTGGAGAGATAGCTCAGTGGTTAAAAGTACTGGCTGCTCTTGCAGAAGACCCAGGTTTGTTTCCAAGTTCTGACACAGTGGCTAACAACCATCTGTAACTCCAGTTTCAGGGGATCTGATGCCCTCTTCTGACCTCTGCAGACAATGCAGGACACAGGTGCACCTACCTACATGCAGGCAATACACTCATACATATAAAATAGAAATAATAAGTAGGAGCTGGAGAGATGGCTCAGCAGTTAAGAACACTGGTTGTCCTTGCAGAAAACCCGGGTTCGAATCTCAGCACCCACATGGCAGCTAACAACTGTCCATAACTCCAGTCCCAGGGGATCCGACAGCCTCTTCTGACCTCCGCAGGCATTGCACGACACGGGTGCACTTACCTACATGCAAGCAATACATGCATACACATAAAATAAAAAATAATAAATAAAAAAAAATTTAATAAAAATATTTTTTAAAATATTAAGAAAAAATAAGTATATAAAAAGGGCAAAAGGAATACTAGACAAAGTGACCACTGAGTCAGGCAGAGTGTCAGTCTAATACTCAATAAAGCAAGAGAAGCATTTTTAAAAGGACAAGTAAAAGGAGAGTGGCTAAGGACAAAAATTATACTGTTCCATGTCATTGTGACTTCTGTCAGAAGTCAGATAAGTGGGATTGCTTAAGAGAAACATTTAGTAAAAGTCTGACAAAGAGTACAGTGCAAGCCTCCCTGTAGATATCACTTATTGACTGACAATAATGGCAACTTCACAACAGAGGAGCCTCTCAGCTACTACCTTGGCAACGTAAACAAAATTAGTATCATCCGAAATGGGAGAAACTGACATCACTCAGACCGCCTACTCTGGATGCTAAGAAATACACAATGTTCATGTGATAATCTGGCAAATATGAATAACCCACCTGGAGAGAGGACTGCCCCCCAACCCCTTACACAGACACACACAGGCAAACAAAAAACCCAAATGTCCTGTAATTTTGAAAAATATCAGCATCAGCATTACAGAAGACAAAAAAGATAATGAAACTAACAATTACACAAAGCATCCAATTTTGTTTTGTTTTGTTTTCTTAAAAAAGGGGGAGGTGACAACTGAAATCAACTGATCTTGGACAGAAAAAAAACAAAACAAAAAAACCCAGTTGCTATTAGGATCTTCATAGAGACTTGGAAAACATCTATGCACAGACCTTACATATTAGCATTATGCCAAAGATCAGTTTTCTGAATTGCCCTTTTCCTTAGCAGGAATGACAGTTCTGATGAATCCAGAAATCCTGTGACAATAGTAGAATCTACACTTATACTCCAGGCAACAAGGCATAATGACAAGGTCCCTCCCACCTGACCAATCCTAAAATGGTGATCAACCAGACCCTTGTTTGACCAATAGTGCTCAACTACACATGCTTCTTGCTTACCACCAGTAAATGAGCTGGAAGTTCATATTAGTTCCCTAAAGACTATTAGACCCCATTTGTCTTCCTGCCACAGCCAAAGTGACTAAAGCTCCTTTCCTGTTTTGCACCATTACTTTTTTCAGTTGTTTATTGGGTGAGTGGCTGGATCTGATTTCTTGGAACTCCTGGAGTTTAGCATCTGGCCTAGGACTCCAGTAACAGACACATATGGAGCAATAAAACAATGTAAGAATATAAAAAATGTCAGCCAGGCATGACACATGCTGATAATCCCAGCATTTGGGAGGAAGAGGCGGAAAATCAGGTATTCAAGGGCAGCTTCAGCTACAGTGTCAATATGAGGTCAGTATGGGCTACATGAGACCTTGTCTAAAAACAAAACCAAGGCCAGGCATGATGGCCCACACCTTTAATCCTAGCACTGGAGATGCAGAAATAGGTGAATCTCTTGTGTGATTGAAGCCAGTCTCTTTTACACGACAAATTCCAAGCCAGTCAGGGATATACAGTGAGACACTATTTAAAAAAGAAAATACCATCTACTCTGCTTAGCTAGCTGGGTAGACCCTCCTCAAGCTGTCCCCTTCCTTGGGCCTAGGTCCACTCCTGCTTGTCCCTCCTGACACCTCTGGACTAGCCTGACAAGTATATCTCTCACCACTTGTTAAAGAAGCTTCTTTTTGTATCAGAGGCTATTACAGAGTTCCACAGCTGGTCAAAAGGACAGAATAAGTGTCTGTGAGATATCCAGCCTGACACAACCATAATACAACCTCTACATCTAAGGCTCAGGAAACAGCAGAACAGGGGGCAAGGAGAATATTAATACATCTCTCAACTCTCACCAGCAAAGCTTCCTCATACAACAGATGGTGATCAACACGGAACCAGCCAAAATGTAGAGAAGAGACTGCAGAGTACATGTGCCTGGGCAGGACTCCTATATAAAACCTCTACCACCTAACACTCAGGGATCATTGTGGAAGAGGGGGCAGAAAGACTGTAAGAGCCAGGAGTGGTAGATGACCACAAGGAAACAGTTTTTTTCTAGGCAGCTGGGAACTTGTTCATATGAACTTACAGCAATGGTGACACACGCACAAGACCCAAGCAAACTCGAACTAGACAAAAGCCCAGCACAGAAGTGGAGAAATGGGTAAGAAGCCCCAACTTTAGCTGAGGAACTATTGGCATTAAAGAAATGACTCTAGATAGGTTGACCAGGCTTCAGTAGATGAACTCACATCGAAAGACATCTAGGGATACAAACGACATGACAGAATGCATGATATCTGGCAGAGGGTGTGATGGGGAAGTACAGATAAGGAAGGGGTTTAAATAGATATATTATATAAAATGTGCAAAAATTCAATAAAAAAAATTAATTGTACAAAGGTGGTAGTTGATATTGTCCAACCAACTTGACATGATTTAGAATCACTGTGGAAACAAATCTCTGTGCATGTCTGTGAGGGAATTTTTAGATTATGTTAACTAAAGTGGAATAACTTAACCCTAAATGTGGGCAGCACCATTCCACGGGCTGGCATCCTGAACTGAATAAAAAGGAGAAAGTGACTTGAACACTACATTCACCTTTCTCTGCTTCCTGACTGTCAATGCAATGTGTCCAGCTGCCTTAAGCTCTCGCCACTATGCCATCCTCAGCACAATGGATTGTGCCCTTCAACAGTGAGCCAACGTAAACCCTTCATTCCTTGAAAAAAATAAATAAAAATAAAAAATAATAAAAAAAGAAAGAAAAAGAAATTTAAAACATTGTAGTATTTTTGCAAGTTTTCCACAGGTTTGGCTCTTATGAAATAACAGGAATAAATAAAAGGCAAAGATCTGAAAATCTACTCTCTACTTCCTTCCTCGTTGCCAGGAAGTAGCAGCTCCTCCACATGCTCTCTGCTATCTTGTTTGTGGTGAGACCTCAAGGTGAGACCTCAAGCCCAAGTATTATGACTAAGGGATCATGGGCTGAAGTCCTAACACAACACAAACCAACAACTCTTGCCTATTTAGATGGGAAAACAAAGGAAAAATTTAACTCTGAACTAGAAAGTGAGGTCCCAAAAAGAAAAGAGACAGTATTTTCAAAGGTGAGATTTTTTTTGTATTTAGTGTGAGTGCCTGTGTATATTGTGTATGTATAGTATCTATGAGTATATGCACATGAATGTTCACACTGGTGAGAAGAGGACATTAGGCATCTGCCTCTCTTTCCACCTACTCCTTTAGACAGGGTTTCTCTCTGAACCTTTCCCCAGCAATCCTCCTATCTCCAGTTACAGGCATGCATGAGATGCCCAGCTTCTTAAATAGGTACTGGGATCAAACTCCAGTCCTCAACTGAGCCATTTCTCTGGCCACGCTGTTTCTTTTTTTCTCTTTTTTTTTTTTTTTTTTTTTTCTATTAGAGGCAGGGTCTCATATAGCCCAGGCTGGCCTGGAATTCTAACTACGTACCCCAAGTCCTGTATCTTATGTCCCTATTGCTAATAGGTATGCGTCATCACACTTGGATCAAGGATGAGAATTATTAGAGCTAATTTACAATAAAAAGGTAAAATTTCACACAGACAATCAAGCAGATTACCAAAAGATAAAAGAGCTAGGTGTGGTGGCACATGCCTTTAATCCTGGCACTTGTAGTCAGAGGCAGGGGGATCTGTAAAAGATCAAGGCAAACTGGAACTATAGGGAGACCATCTCAATCAATCAATCAATCAATCAATCAATCAATCAGTCAGTCAATCAAAGAAGAAATACCTTTAAGAAAGTAAAGAAAACAGGATCTAGAAAATACCAGAGTCACTAATTTTGGTGAAAGACTATATAACTTCTCACATGAGAAAGGAAAAAGGAAAGAGGATAAAATGAATAATATTGTTAGTTGCACAACCTGTTTACTAATGACACTGCATCTACAGAATGAGTAAGCAACACCAAATAGTATAAACCACCAAAAAGTCATATTCCTACGCCTATTAACCTCAGACCAAGAGAAGCCTAGATGTACTATTTGAACATAGTATATTAATAAACTACAAAACTGTACAGCACCACCTTTATAAGTTGTAAGGAATATGAAAGAAATAAAAAATGCAGCTTGGCAGATATCTGCATACAATTAAGTCAATTTGAAACATAAGAAAATATGTAAATATTGGGAATACATCCAAAACATTGCTATAATTTTAAAAATACTTTTAGAACTAAACAGAAAAAAAAATGCTGAGAACCATGCATATTTTTTAAAAGTAAAAAAAAAAATCACTCACAACTATTTATAAGAATACAAAATACAAACTATTAGCCAACTAACTGATGCTACTTTCATTTCTGTCATGCCGAGTAGATATTTCTGCCCCTACTCTAGAAAACAAATGTACAGACCAGCTTGACCTAGGCAGACACAATAGTAATCAGAGCACAAATCATAAATATTAGCTGGGACAAATAATAAGGCCCTAAATAAATGTAAAAACCTAGAGATGATTCATAACAGAAGACCTCCCAGCCAAGTAAGTCAATGTCAGACACAGGCCAAACTAGTGTGTGATGGCTAATACTGGGTGTCAATTTGACTGGATCTGGGATTAACTGAAATGAGAGAGATCGTCTTGATTGGATCATCTGAAGCTGGAAGACACACCCTACATGTGGGTGTTACCTTCTGATGGCACCCCCCCCTATAAAAGGCCACGGCAGAGGAGAACACCTGGCTTCTTGCTGCTTGCCTTCTCTCTCCCTGGTGAGTTCGTCTTGCTGCTGTAGACTGAAGACTAGCTGATCTTTTGGAATTCATCAGACCTTCAGCACCAGATTGGGACTGAGACATCCAGCCTCATGGACTGAGCAACTACGGATTCTCAGCCTCTTCAGTGTGGTGCAGCCATTGTTGGACTACTCGGACTCTATCCTGTGAGCTAAGCTGATAAATCTCTATACATATATACGCATTCTATTGGTTCTGTTCCTTTGGAGAACCCTAATATATACTGTTACTCAACAGTGATCCCAGGCTGTAATACTGTTACCAGTCAACACCAAGATTAAGGAGTTTACATCATTTACATCAGAATGTAAATCATCTAGGGCTCTGAACTCCAGTTTAGTTCAGCTGATTTTTTTATCATAGCCACTAAGACTTTCTAAGGGAAGAAGTACTTTGTTACATTCTGTTATCTCTTCACAAAGCTACATGAGTAGCTCTGGAGGCCTTTGTTTCAGGGGTTTAATGTTGGGCATACTATTGCATCATATAATCAAACCACTCAGAAGGCTGAAGCAGGATGATACTATAACAACTATAACTTCCACTGACCTAAGATAGGTTCCCTGTTGCTCAACTAGGTTGGGGAGATGATGTGAAAAATACTGATAGATAATTTTGGAAATAAGTGATAAATACAAACAGTAGTAAAAGTTAAATGCAAATGAAAAGGGTTATGAAAGATGAAAACTAAGGAAAAATCCTTACATAATACAATCATAGAAAAATTGAGCTGAAATGATATCAAGAAGTTAACACTTCTATCTGCTTTCACAGTTCCAAGCATTTTTAAACTGTCACATTTAAACACAGTCATGTACTTACGTAACAGTTTGGTCAATGATGGGCAATCTATGTAACAGGTGTTCCTTACAATTACACAAACATCATAGGCATCTTAGTTTGTGTAAGTATACCCTAGGATGTTTGTGGAATAATAAAATCATCTAAGGCCCATTTCTTCTATGTTCCTATCACATAAGAAACCTATACCTGAACTTATAATAAAAAAGCCATGTTAGAACAAAAATTATAAATTTAATTATAAATTCCAAAGCTGGTAGACAGCAAAAGCACTTTCTCTTTCACAGCACCTTTTATTGCAATACTAAAAAATAAAAGACAAAAATAAGTGATTTTTGTTCTATTTGTACAGATTGTATAAAGCAAGCAAAAACTGAATTGAGTTAGTATGAACCACCAAAACAAACGTAATTACAGTATAAAATACATAATGTGTACTAAATTTCATTAATAGCAGGATGCTATAATATGCATCCTTCCAAAGTGTTCATCTTTTCTACTTACATTTATAACCAAAGAAGCCTTTGGGCTTCTTGCTCTCCAATGAGATGAATGTTCCTATGACAAAGTCAGCAATGGCCAGGAGGAGAATCACCAGAAGAACAATCTGAGCCTGCAATTGAAGCACTGAAAATCAAAGTCTTGCCTCTCCTTGTATTCTGTCCTAGTAGAACTCTAGCTAGGGAAAGGATTTATTTTACCTTTTCACCAGTGTCTCAAAGAAAGCCAACCATTAAGTAGGTAGGTACTCAATAATTTTCTGTTCAATGAATAAACAGTTCTCTACAGAACTATCCTAAAGCCAGATGTGGTGTCATATATCTGAAGCTCTAGCTATTCAGGATGTTGAGGCAAAAGAATCACAAGTTTGAGACTAGCCTGAGCTAATTCAGGAGAGCCTGCCTACATCACTATCTTAGAATGTTTAATATGAGGTTGTGGGGGCAAAGGGCCCAAAAGTAAAATCATACCATACATCTCCAAAGTGAGTCCTGAAGATGTTTATACCCACCCCAAACCACACGTGTTTCATCCTATACAATTCTCCCCTTCCTCCCCCAAGACCCTAAAATCTTGACAGGGAGAGTGTATTTGTTACAATCAGAAGTTTTATACCAGATCCAAAGACAATAATCTGTTCGTAATTGCTCTAGAAAAAGAAAACACAGACCAAGCCACTGAGCGGAGGGGAACTCTAGGACCAATGGCATCAGAAATAAAAACAACCTCGTAACTATCACCTCCTTTTCTCCAAAGTTAGACTCTCAAAAAAACCTGAGCAGATACTATGACATTTGTGCAAACAACTTTTTAAAAGCATTTAAAATTTTTTATTATTATTGGGGGGAGGGGGGGCACCTGTGCCATGGTACCTGTATAGAGGTCAGAGAACAGCTTTTCAGAATCAGTTCTGTTTCCCTTTTTCTATGGATTCTGGGTATAGAACTCAGGTCACCAGGTGTCCACAGCAAGTACCTTTACCCTCTGAACTCCCTCTCTATCCTCTATCCTTCTTACTTCTCTGGCTAAGAAGGGCTTCTTGTATGCTAACCATGGTCTAAGTATAATAAAATTTTATTCTTATCAATAAAGTCACTTTGTTACATAAAAGAGGGATTAGCTTGCCTTCAACTCAATTCCTAGCACTGCAAAAATAACTAAATAACTAAAATGGAAAGTAGTGTTTAACTGAATTTCAAGTGGATTATCTTCAAATATTCCCTTTTAAATAGTAAATAATCTTATATAACAAATGTCTTTGAGCTGGAGAGATGGCTCAGTGGTTAAGAACACTGGTTGTTCTTGCAGAAGACTCAGGTTCGAATCCCAGTACCCACATGGCTGCTAACAACTGTCCATAACTCCAGTCCCAGGGGATCCGACAGCCTCTTCTGACCTCCGTGGGTATTACACGACACAGGTGCACTTACCTACATGCAGGCAACACGCATACAGATAAAAAAATAAAAATAATAATTTAAAAAAATGTCTGTAAAGAGTCCCTTACATATCATTATAATTTGAAAATGTTATATTTCTGAGTTTCCTAAAACGTAAGTTTTGTGGATTAAATGCGTATGGATGTTCTGTCATGACTTACTTTTGCTTCCCACTCCATTCCAGCTACTGAGATACCCAGAAGAATCACCACTGTAATGGCTCCAATAATTCGAATATCATTGATTTCATCTATCATGGTAAATGTGGAATGTTCCTTGAAAAGAGAAATACAATCAACAACAGCTTCTGAGATGTAGACACTGAATAATGCTTATTAAAGGAACAAATAAAGGCAGGCATGGTGGCACATGTCTGTACTCCTAGCACTCAGGAGGCAGAGATAGAAAGATTATGGAAGGTTCAAGGCTAGCCTGGTTTATACAGCAAGTCCCAAGCCCACTAAGGACATACTGCAAGACCCTTCCTCAAATACCCAGGGCAAACAAGAAAAAAGGAATGAATTACTAATTACTATTAGTTGTCATTTAAGTATCTTATATGTCCAATGTATGATTAAACTACTAATGTTGGCATATCTGATATGGACCCAATAAATAAAAAAAGCAATAATCAAGCAGACAAAGAAATTATAATCTAACTAAATAGTATTTTAAAAATATTTTATATAGCCAGCGTTGTGGCGCACCCCTTTAATCCCAGCACTTGGGAGGCAGAGGCAGGGAGATCTCTGTGAGTTCAAGGCCAGCCTGATCTACATAGTGAGTTCCAGGACAGCTGAGGGGGGTACAGGGAGACCCTATCTCAAAAAAGACCAAAGAAAAAAAATTTATGTATTACTTTCATTTTATGTAAATGTATTGTCTACATATGTGTAAGTACACCCATATCATGTAGTGCCCACGGAGGTCAGAAGAAGGCACTGGATCCCTAGAACTGGAGTTACAGACAGTTGTTGCTATCATGTAGGTGCTGGGAATCAAAGCTGGGTCCTCTCCAAGAGCAGTTGGTACTCTTAACCATGAGCCATCTCTCCAGCCCCAGCAGTATTTTTTTTTTTATAAAGTGTACGGTTTTATGATGTAACAAAACAGAAATGTATTCTGTTTCCAGTGTGACTAGTGAACTCATGCTTCTGATAGTCTTTTATGTTACATGAGGGGCAAAAAAAGCCACACCTTCATGTAACTGTCCAAACCACAGAGTCCTCACTCATTAAAAAAAATTACTTGTAACAGTTAATGTAGATCACACTTTTATAGTTTCCATGTAGATTAAAATATACATATATGTATTCTTATTAATTCTCAAATAAGATTGAGGAAGGTGTAAAAGACTACAATGGTCTTATCAAGTTTCATCTTTTAATGTCTTTTAAAACTAATCCTTCATAAAACTCAACTGCAAAGGGGGAAATTTCCTCAAATTCCAGATGAATGAGCTTAATACAAAATTAAGAGAAAAACATCTTAAATACAAACACATTCTTGCCAACTAAAGGCAAAAAAAAGTATTAACATTTAACTAATATAGCAGGAAAAGCCAGGTTGGGGAGATAGCTTGGTGAGGAGTGCTTGCCTAACATTAATGAATGGCGTGATCTCCAGCCCTAAAAAAATAAATAAAAATCAAAACTAATATACTCATTTCTCAGCTTTGACAAATTTGAAGGACTCCATTTGAGTTCCTAATTAGTATATTAATTTGACATTCTCTATAGCATTTGGATAATTATACCTGAGACTTACAGAAGGAAAAATAATATAAATATATCTACTGTTTACTAAATTCATCTTCCATGACTACAACAGATTACAGCTGTAGCTCAATATTTTATACATTAAATATAGTTTTAAGTATTTGTTTCAAATTTGATTAGATCTGCCTACATTTAAATTTCCATTTGCTTTAATGGATATAAAAAAGTACAAGTCATATATAGTAATGAAGTACTATAGAATGTTTGATGATGCATATATGTATTTCATAATATGTACACCAGATTGAACATTTATCTCCTCAAACATTTATCAACTCTTTATAGAAACTTCTTAATTTCTTTTCCTGTTTTTTTTGGGAGGGTGGGAGTAGGTGTGTAGGTGTGTGTGTTTTTGTGTGTGTGTGTGTGTACTTGTGTGAGCAGGGTCACATGTATGCACGTATGCAGAGACCAAGAGAACAACCTCATGTGTCATTCTTCAGGGCTGTCCATCTGGAACTCACCAATCAAGCTGGCTGGCTAGTGAGCCCCAGGGATCTGCCTGTCTTCTCCCTCCCAGCACTGGGATTATAACTATGTGCCACTACATCTTGCTTTTTTTAAAAACGAAACAAAACAAAAACATTTTGTTGAGCAAGCTATCTCTCCTGCACTGGTTCTTGCTTATTAAAATGGCCAGATTATAATGATTATCTACAGATGATTATCTAGTCACCATACTGTGCAACAGTATTCCAGAGCTGTTGCTTACTAACTGTAACTCAAAACATTTTCAAGCCTAATTAAATATTCTTACAGTAAGAGTTCACACAGTAAAACTTTAAACACTGAGTGTCAAATTAAGAACTCACACTGAAGAAAATGAGCTAATAATTACATTACTTGGTTACTTACAGCCTTCCTTTTTCTCCAACCCTCTTTCCTACTTTCAAAGCCAATACAGTCATTGTCATCTATTTTCCTAACTCACCATGAACTACTGTGAACAGTTGCAACCTTCTATGAACAACTATAGGTACTGTGCTAGTCTTCTCATTTAATAATACAATGAAGGTCCATTTCACTCTTATTTAACTGCACACATCCCAGTGACTATTCAAACCAGTCCTCTTCTCAATTTCAGAGTAGCACTATCAACAGCTTTCTGCCACCTCATCTGAACAGACTCCTGCCTCAAGAGAGCACATCCAAACTCAACTGTGTTGTAAATGGAATTACCTTCCATCAAAATCTTCCAGTAGGTAATCTGTGTACAAACCTGAAATCTCCCTTTCTCTAATTTCCTACACCCCACTAATCATCAAGCCTATTCATTCAATATCATTAAAACTGACTTTGTTCTCTCTTGTCTAAACTTAAAATGTTCCTCCAATTTGTACTCAAACCACATTGAATTACTATGGTTTTCTTAACATCCATATCCTTCCCAGGCCTTTGTTTCCTTTTCTTCTATGCTTTCTTTTTTAAAATTCAGTTTTTAGAAATTTATGCTCATGTGTATGTCTGTGTGAATGAATGCCCCATATGTAGGGGTGCCCACAGCAGCCAGAAGATGGTGTCAGATCTCTCGGACCTGGGGTTATAGAGCTGGTTGTCAGCCAGCATGTAGGTACAAGGAAATGAACTCAGGTCCTACAGAAAAGCATCTCTTAACTGCTGAGCTATCACTCCAAGACCCTCTTTCTCCTTCTTAGCATACCATATCTTTCCTATTTGTTTGCCAACACCGAGTATCATCCTTGGAAAACTCTTCAACATTCTCTTGCTACCCTCCATTTCTAGAGAGTAATTTCAAATTCCCCAGACCCCTTCTTCCCTCTGGAATGACAAGGTCTTGTATGGTATTCCGCTGCACTTTTCTTCTATTTCCTGTTACTATCCTTCCTGAACAACAAGATTCTCGGTCATCACAGCACTGCCACCTGATTCCTAAGAATGGTGAATGGTACCTAACCTCTCAATAAAGATTTGGTAAATGAATGACAAAAGGGGTCAGTTACCTTAAGCAACTCCACCACAGTTTCTGCAAATCCAACAACATACATGGCAACTGCCACAGCATTGGCAAAAGCAAAGATCAGGCCAATTGCACCACCAAATTCTGGCCCTAGACTCCTAGATATTAAATAATATGCTCCTCCTAAAGAAAAAGAATGAAAAACAAGATATAAAGTGCCAACAAGCCTTTAAGTCACACTTAAGAATTCACAAAACAGATCCAGGCAAGTAGGTGAGTATATATATA